AAACTAAATGGTTCTCCTGTATAAAAAAAAAAATCATAATCAGTTTAGAGAAATCATCTACTTGTAGAAATGGTTACATCATTGCTCGAAACTAGATCGATATAAACGCAGGAGGAATTACATGCGTGTGATATTTATACGAAGTGGAGGAATAAGTGCAGGCATATTAGAAAACTCATACTAAATGGTTAAAAAGCCATCCATCTTTAGAAAGGATTAGCTGCAACATCTTAATCTATCAAGGTTCAGAAGTGCAAAAGATTCATTTAGACCATGATTTCCACCCCAAAAGCACTGATATATACAGTTGAAGAGTGAAACAAATATCAGAGGCTCCATTGACAAGATGGTCCAAAGCAACATCCGACTCTGGTGCACTTTGCTTATTCTCATTCGATTCTCCAAAAGTAACATATCTATCAAGATTCATAAGACGAACGAATTGAACAGCATTCAGCTCTATCAAGATTGCTGGCAAGATAGACCTTAACACCGACCTGTGTTTTAAAAGGCGTGAGGCGCTCCAAGGCGATTAGCTACCCGAGAGCCTCAATTTTTTGAGGCGCTTTGAGGCGAGAGATTCACGTACGCGAGGCGCTTAATTTTACAAAACATTTGTAAATATTTTATAACCATATCTCAAACACAAAACAACTTAATAAGCAAAAACACCAAGTAGCATAGGTCATATTGTATCTCAAAAAGACAAATAAAAACATCATCAATAATCAAAATGCCTAAAACTCGTCTTCATCATCATCATCATCGTCATCAACATCAATCCCAAGCACCTCCTCCTCCCCATCATCTTCGGAAAGTCCAATATCATGTTCTATCTCTTCATCGTCTTCATCAATCAAATTTAGTCCAGTAGAGGGCCTTCTACGAGTGGAGGTTTGGGCAACACCCTTTCCTCTATCTCTTGATGAACTTGATGTAGATGTTCTTCTAGTGGAATAAGTAGCTTGAGATGCCCCAGAAGCTTTATCAACAACAGACCATGTTAAATCATCTCCATCAAAGACAAAGTCGTCCTCCTCACCATCTTCATCGTCCATATGGCCCATCAACCACTCGTTGCTTTCATCTATTTCCTTCAAAAGAATAGGATCTGTGGTGTCCTTTCTTTGATATCTTCGTCGCAAAGCACGATTAAACTTGACATACACCATGTCATTTAAACGACTTTGTGCCAATCTATTTCTCATTTTTGAATGAAGTTGTTGAAAAACGCTCAAGTTCTTCTCGCAACCCGTAGCACTACAAGTTAGGCTAAGAACTCGGATTGCAAATTTCTGTAACTCCGGTGTGAGGCTCCATATGCAAACCACCAATCCGCTATTAACATATAAAATAAATCAAGATTTAATTTTGTGAGGTATGATATATATATATAATATACATATATGCGTCTGTGTGTGTGTTTTTTACCTGGAGCTCTTTTCTTTCTTTGTCTTACAGCCATCGGATTGCCAAAAAGACCTTGGGCATTTTGATACAAGTCTAATTGTTCCCCAATCTTATCTTGAGTGCTCAAATCAGGTACCAGCCTTTGAATGCAAGCATACAACCCGTTCATAACCTCTACACACATTGCATTCTCTGGATTCTCGTAATACATTTCCGGATTTAAAAAAAACCCAGCTGCATACAATGGCCTATGAAGTTGGCAATCCCACCTTGCATCAATATACTCAAAAGCTTTCTTATAGTGTTCTTCTTTGTGTAAAAAACTAAGAGCGATAGTCTCTTTAGCCCTATCCATGGACTCATAGATATATCTCATGGCCGGCTTTTTGTCTCCATCTACCATTCTCAATATCTTGACAAGAGGTCCTGTCAACTTCAAAGCATACACTATATTTCTCCAAAAGCGTTCTTGCAAAATAATTGATGTTAGTCTCTTCCCAGAAGGATCGTTTGACCACTTGGTATTGTTCCATTCTGAAGACGTGATCATCTTTCGCAAATTGTTTTTTTGCTTATGCATCTGGGCGAGAGTGATGAACGATGTTGCAAATCTGGTGATTGCGGGCCTATGTAGGTTTCTTTGATTTGTAAACCTCCTCATCATGTTGACAATGCCAACATGGTTATAGATATAACCAATCATGAAGATGGCGCTTTTCAAAGTATTCCGCACTTTTGGGATCTTTCCAATATCCTCTAGCATTAAATCGATTCAATGTGCAGCACAAGGAATCCAATATAAATATGGTCTAGTTGCCTCTAACATCATTCCTAAAAGAGAGAGAAATAAAAGATTAAAGGGAGAAGCAAGAAGATTCAAAACAAGTAACTATGTAAGCATATGTTAATTGTTTAGTATACCTACCTGCTTTAACATAATTAGATGCATTGTCTGTCACCACTTGTACTACATTCTCCTCTCCTATCTTTTCCACCATATCATCAAGCATTTTAAACAATGTGTTTGCATCCTTTTTTATTTCCGAGACATCCAAAGATTTTAGAAAGACCGAACCTTTAGGAGAATTCACTAAAAAGTTCACGATATCTTTCTGAACAGTTGAATCACGCCATCCATCAGATAGAATTGAGCAACCTTTTAATGCCCATTCTTTCTTGTAATCTTTCAACTCGTTTTGGGTGGATTCTACTTCATTCTTAAGCAAAGGAACTCTAAGCTCATGCATGCTTGGTGGTTTGAATCCCGGGCCAAATTGTGCAACCGCTTCCATTGCAATGTGAAAGCTATCATAAGACGCCGCGTTAAAAGGTAGCCCCGCATCGTAAAACCAACGAGCTATCTCCTTGCAAGCCTTGTCCCTAAGGTCTTTTCGACACACTTCGTTTATTGTTTGTTGTTTCCCACCTTTTCTACCTTTGAGTATGTCTTCTGGTTTTTTAGCGTAAAACTTGTCCATGGGACCTATTTGTTTTGGTTTTTTAAGAGGGGGAACCTTGCTACCTCCTTCTCCCGCACCATCATCATCCTCTTCATCGTACTCATCAACTTCCACTTCATTCGTTGGGAACACGTCGGTATTTTTTCCACTTTCTTTCTGGATCATGTAATAGTCTCTTACTTCTACCCGCACATGCTCGGGACACTTGGGGCATCGTTTAGAATTTTTAAACCCTCCGACTAAATGTTGTTTTACTCGGTATACTCCTCCAGTAGTTGGCTTTCCACAAAATTTGCAAGTAAATCTATGCCTATTCGTTGGGTCAGGTATACTATATTTCCTCCACGGATCAATTGCATCATCAGCGGAACCGGTAGCATCGTCGGTGGCCATTTTAGAAAAACAATCTAACTATCTAAATAAACATAGCAGCAATATATAATAAAAACATAAAATACAATACATAGCAAAAAATACATAACAACAAAATGTATCAAAACAGAAAACTAACAAATTATATATTTATAAACAGAATTTATATGAAGTGTATGAAGTAAAAACAAATTAGCAATAGACTGAAAACAGAAAACTAACAGATTATATATCTATAAACTAACAGATTAGCAATATAAACAGTAAGCTTTTTTTTTTGGAAAAGCATAAAAAACATATTATAACTAACAAATTAGCAATAAAAACAGTAAACTAACATAGTAAAACTAACAGATTAAAAACAGAAAACTATAAACAGAATCTATAAATTAAACAGAATGCATATTGAGCAGGATTATCTATAAACAAATTACATATTTACATTGTGCTTAAAAGCCTAAAATGAGTAAATTCTATATTTCTATGAACAGATTATCTAAACAAATACCTTAATGGCGAAAACCTTAATGATTATATATCTAAATTCTAAACAGATTACCTAACAATTAAACATATTATAGATAAACAATTAAACAGATTACCTTAACAAAATAACAAGTAAGCAGATCACCTTAACAATGAAGCGGATTATATATCTACAGCTGTGATAACCGATAAAGAAAGCTTGTGTCTTCCAATATATAAACAATTAAACAAATTACATTGAAGATGAAGCAATTAAACAAATTACAGTGAAGTAAATTAACCATGTAGGAGTGGAGGGGAAAAGAAAAGCAGATTGTACATACACTATAGTGATACAAATTTTAAAATTAAGACTTACCTTAATGGAGAAAATCGAGAAAGGAGATAGGAGAAACTGAGAAAGGAGTCTGCTTTCAACTTCAACGTAGAACAATCGCTGAATTAAGCATGAATGGAGGAGGGAGATAAAATTTTAGGAGGGAAAAGAAGCTCCAGGGTATGCATCGGAGAAACTAGAGAGCTTGGATCATGATTTATAGACATACAGTAATTAAAAAATTGGACGTTAGAAGGTCAAGAGACAGTTCAAAGTTCCAGGAATACATTAATGTAAGTAATTGGAATTTAAAAGGTCTGACCGTTGGAAGATTAAAAGGTCTGGCTGTTGGAAGAAAATCGAGCCCAGACCCAAAATTTAAAAATGGGTCATTGTACGTGAATCGCTAAAAGCATCGCCTCGTCGCCTCTCACCGCCTCCGACGACTGAATCGCCGCCTCATGTACTTGCCGCCGCCTTGGTGGTCGGAGGCTTTTTTCTAAACGCCTAGCCTCGCCTAGCGCCTCAGGCGCGCTTTTTAAAACACAGACACCGACGAATAGTAGCTTCAGTCTGGTATATAAACACATAACATAAGCATATCATCGATAGACTTCCGAACCGTGAAACGAACGCTTAAGTGCAGATGAACCACCAAGCCTCTATGTCTCATGTATTCCGCCTACTTTAAGAGCAACAGCAAGACCAACAGGTTCTAATGATATGAGCAACAGAATCGAGAATTTCAATTAACATTGCAAGATAAACTCCTAAATGTGGAAGTAATCCGAGGAAGTACACAAGTAATGCTTAATTGCATCCTCTCTAATATCTTTCCATTTATGTTTGAAACGAATTTTATATCATCCTCAATCATAATCTTTTACCCAGCAATCAAGCATAACAAAGTACAAAAGCAAACGACAAGCAAATACACTTGAACGCTAAAACTATACCTCCATAGCTATTATCACCATGATCACCTACATAAGAATCTGGTAAAACCCATTTCACATTAGGCAGGGCTGCAAGCAACCAACACAATTCTTCATCAATTTACAATCTTGAACAAAGAATGGATTTGGAAAACAAAACAGAAAAAAAAGAGCTTACAGTTAATCTTAAAAGCCAAATCTAGTTGGACTTTGCAACCAAATGCATAATAATACTTGGTGGAAACAGAGTATATAGACTTCTTGGCTTCCTCTTCACTGCGTATTAATACAAAAAAATATTAAAAAATTGGCATTTTTAGACTGCAAAAAAAAGGAGGGATTTTGATTTTGGACCTTCCCAAAGCCATGGCTAGGGTTTTAATGTAAGTGTTGACGATCTCATCTCGAAGTGGGTATCCCTTGGGAGCCTCCATAACGACGAACCAGTGTTCATAGTCACATCCATCCACCAGGACTGGAGTTCGAGTCAACTCCACTCTCTTGGGAAGCACTGAGTTATTATATCCCGAGTCGTTGGAGAAGCATCTCGAGAGTATACGTGTACTAGACGATGGATAGGTTGAGAAACGGCGACCGATTAGCTTTTGAACGACGCTTGACAACGGTTCCATTTCGATTCCCGTTTTACCTCCAGTGAGGTGAGGTGAGGTGAGAGGGTTCAACGGGAGTTTGTCGAGTTAATTGCGCTATACATTTCTAACTTATTTTAAATTGGTCTTTAAACTTTTTAATTTCATACTTGAATTATGACTCCCATTTTAAATTGGTCTCCAAACTTTTAAGCTTTCAAATTCATCTCCAAATTATAACCTTCATTCTATGTTGGTTCCAAAATTTTTGAATGTTCTAATTTCATTTCCAAACATTTGGATGATTTAGGGGTACATTATTGGAATGTTCAAAAGTTTGTCGATTAATTTAGAATGAGAGTCATAGTTTGAGAATGAATTTAGAATGGTAAAAAGTTTATGGATCAATTTAGGATGAAAGTAATAGTTTGAGGATTTATAGTATAATTTACTCAATGTTTTGGCACTATTGACTAAAGAATAAATTATGCCATTAGTAAGTAAGGTTTGGTTACGATTCTTTTTTACTACTAAAGTTTTAAAAGCTATAAAACAGTTACTGGCATTAAGAAATATGAAAACTACACCCATGACAATTTAACTACAAGCGAATTTTAATTTATCATCAATTTTTAATTTTATCAATTAAACCACTTAATTGTTTAAACAATGATAATCAATCCACCTATTGTTTATATTTGACAGATGAATTGATGTGACAATTAATAAAATTGATATAATTATTTATTTTGATCTTATCATTTATATATTATATCAATTTGATCATAATTTTAATTTAATTAAAAAATTAAATTATTCCCTTGAATAGTGACTCATATTACTAATAAATCTAAATTAGATATTTCACAAAAATTAAAATTCATTATGAACTTAAGGACTATTCTGACAAGAACCACCCTGAAAGGTACATTTAACATGAAGATGGTGATTGTAAAAGAAACAAAGAAAAACTTTTTTCATTATCTTAAACATTTGTACACTCGGTTAGCGCATGCTCCATTATGCTTGGTTTTGGGAAGTGAAAAACGTGGGCTGGCTGTCCGAGGACCGAGGAATCGCAGCTGGCATGTAAGCATTCCCATGTCATCAAAATTTGAGTCACTCAAATCCTAAATCAGGATGGATCGAGTGGATATTGAGAGTGTGATCATATCTTAGCCACGAATCAAGTGATTTTTAATAAAAGAATTGTTGTTATTCTTAAGGATTTGGATTCGAGCACCATAGATGTCAAGGGTATAAACATTTAATATTGAAATGTTGAGAGTTATATTCAAACATATACTACTTTGTACTTATCCCAGACTATTCAAAAAAAAATATTGTAGCCTAAAATTTTCACTTTTAAAATGAATTACTTTTATTTATATATAAAACAAGACAAACGATAAGAGTCTTGTTCAAAAATCTCCCTAAGTATAATCAGAGGAAAAATAATGTACCCATCAATGTCAGCTCTACAAGAAATTTTATGATTTTACACTTCTAAAATTTTTTGTAACCCACTAGATCCGACCTATGCCTTACGACCAGATCTAGCGGATTACGATAAAAAAATTTCAAAACGTTTTTCAATAATTTAAAACCATATTACATATAAACCTCTTTAAAAACATGGTTGATAACACTAAAGTTTAATTTCAGTAAATCAAAGTCGTAAGGACTGAGAAAAAGATAAAATATTCCAAAATCAGTATCAAGTAAACCTAACATAAATATCAAAAGCAGTAAAATCGTAAAACAAATACTTTCAAAATATATAGGCACATGCCACCCAACGTAATGGCATATCGGAAGATAAAAACATTACATCAAAATATTATGTACGAATGTGTCGATCCTCTAAGTGCTAGATTCGAGACTCCTATAAAAAAGTATCCGAAAGAGAAAAGTTTGGGGAAGTGAGCTAGGGAGCTCAGTGTGTTACAACAGTGCATAAATAAAACATATGGTTGAGTTTCCAAAATCAGTTTAGTTCCAAGTTGTGAAAACATCAATAGTATTTTTTAGCTTAAAATACAAAATTGCCCTCCAACCGAACACTATATGCAGTTCCCCAAAACTGCATCCACAAGAACTTACCCTAGGCCCAAAGGGCGTATGTGTCAACCTAAGGGAGTACCTTGGGTCCATAAGGCCTTACCCTAGCCAAGCATAAGTGCCCACATGAGGAGTGTGCCCTCAAGCCCATAAGGACTTACCCAATGCACATAGCATAGGTGCCACCCTAAGGGAGTACCTTAGGGTCCATAAAGTCTTACCACTGAGCCCATTGGGCCCAAGAGCCCACCCAAGGGTCGCCTTAGGTCCATGAGGAATTACCAGCTCGAATGGTTTAAACCTATATAAGGAATTACCAGTTTGATCGAAGCTGAACCTATAGAGACTTCATATTAAATCCTAGAGTAACCCGAAGAAAAAACAGTTTTTAGACAGAAACCAGTGCTAGCAGGAAATCAGAGTTCAAACATACTTATTTATCAATAAAAATAGTAACCAGAGAACATGTGTCAAGCAAGCATGATTTAAAATACAATAAACCAGGAATCATATTTAAATCAGATAAGTCATACGATAGTCAAATCAGAGCAAACAATTCATTTCAAATCATAGAAAATAATCATGTGCGCATGATATTTCAAACATATAGTTAAAACAATTATATGACACACAAGGAACACACCTCACAAAAAGAATCTGTCTGGTAGATCTATTGAGCACCAGCTTCATTACGCTCTTCTGTTGTACGCGAACCTAGGTTATATTAGAACAGGGTTATAATCCAAATAATATTCTAAATTGAGTATCTAAAATGGTTACATAACTATACGAGTAATCATGGGCTGGCACTGACGGACAGATTGGGAGAAATCTGGTCGAGCAGGCGAACGATCAAGAAATCCACGAGTACCTTAAATATGTGACATCATCATAAATTGATGAGTTATTGACCTTGAATTAAATCAACTTAATGAAATTGCTTGAGTTACAAATACATATTCGAGTTTCACGGTCAATTTGGAGGCTTTCGAGTTTTAATTTGGAAAAACGAACTTCAGATTCGGACTCAGGACATCGAAAAACATAAAATATGACTTTGTAAATTTTTTTACTTTTCAGTCAAAGTCAACGGTCAAGGTCAAAGTCAAAGTCAGTGGGTCTGGTCAACGAGTAGGTAAACAGTTAGGTCAAAGTCAATATTTTAAGTCAAAGTCATTAGTTCAGACTGGTTTGGGTTGACTCGGGTCAGTTTGGGTTAACTCAGACCGGTTGGATCGTTTCTAGAAGAGACCACGACTAGAGGAGAGCCCTACACAAACACGACGGAGCTTGGTGGTGTGTAGTAGTGATGATGGGGTAGAGGACGGCTACCAAGCACTCCCAAAACATCCAAACACCATATTAAGCCAAACTAACTCAAAAATCAACAAAAACCACAATAATCAACCAGATAAACGAGATCGGGTGCTTACCTACGACGGATCACGATAACAACGACGAAGACGTAACCCACCGGTTAGGGTTTGAGAGTACAGATACGAGGAGTCCAATGGTGGAGGCGGTGAGGCGAACCGATGAACGAGGTGGCCAAAATCGAAGAAAAATCAAGCGACGAAGGGGTTTTGACGAAACTTTAATGGCTTCTCCATGGTGATCGGAGATACCTTTCGGCAATCGGTCAGAGTGGTTTTGGTCGTCGATCGACGATAATTCAAATGGTTGTGACGGTGCTCCCAACGGTGACCGGACGATGTTGAAATGACGGGACAGTGGGGAATATCTGAAATGCTTCGCTCTCGATTTAGGCCAAACGGTGGTCGATTTGGCAGTTATCCAGTCAGGGATTGGTCACGGGTTATTACTAGGGAAAACAACTTTGGTGACCGCTATGGATGGTCGGAGGATGGTAGTTGGTAGTGGGTTGGTTTGGGGTTGAAGAATAAGTTGGTTTTGAGGCTTGATTCACGAACGCGGGGGGGGGGGATTCTGGTTTGGTTTTGGGTTATAAACCAAACCAAACCAAATTATAAAATATATATTTATTATTATTATACTCAAACAAGAGTCTAAGTGGTAGCTAGGGCATGGGTATCTATGACTCAATGGTCATGCGTTCGAACCCTCCCAGCCACCTAATTCCCATTTTTTTATTTTTGGTGTCAGGAGAGTTTGAGAAAATTATAGGGCTAGTCCCTAAGCTTTTTATATATTCGAAATTAACCAAGAAATTTTTAGAAAGTTGCAGTTTAGTCCTTAAAATCAATTTATCAATTCTATAAATTTAAAAATTGGAAATTGGGGTGTGACTATTCTCCTCCCCTTAAAAGAATTTTATCCTCGAAATTCACCAGATTCAAACAAGAAACATAACCGAGATCTCTAATGGTTCCTTCATAGGTCGAAGGCTAATTACTCTATTGACAATAACGGAAAATCTTGTTAGACTTGGAACGGAAACAAGGGTCTCAGTGCCTTAACTCGAGTATAGAAAGGGCGTTATAAGACATGCATGGCAAGAAACAAAAATAACAATAAATATACCTGCATAAGTCTTTGGCTTAACTCAATCACCAGAACGTCAGGTAGCATATACAAGGGCAGGTTGTCAAGCCTCAGAAGTAGCTAGTCCCCTACTCTGCGATCAAGCTCTGCTGTCAGCTCTAGAAATAGATCTGAAAGTCCTACCTTGACAGTGATTCCTAACGAAAGACTGAACAGAAGCTGTGATTGTACAAGAGTCTGAGCGGGTGTTCGTCGATAGAGGCTGGATGCGGATAATTCCTCAGAAAGTGCTCGCTATAGCTACAATGATAACATGTACCCATATTCTTATGACATTCTTCATCGTTTCGATTTTCACAGTGCTCGCAACTCGGTATCGGAGTAAATCCTAAAGAATGACTTTACTAACAGATGGGGTAGAGGTGATGTAGGCCTCGAACCAATATGGCTCCTCTAATGGGCAGCATTACGAGCCCTCTTATCAAGGCGTGCATAAGACTCAGACTGACCTGTAGGCCTCCTAGATCGATCTCGATTTACCCTATATCTATCAGGAACATAAACCTTGATTTCTTTAGAGTCTTTTGCTCTTCATACTACAACATCGAACCTTCATCCTGATGAGTAACCACTTGATGACGTAACTCGTATATGAGTCCCTGGACAAACTTTAGGCACTTATCCCTCTCGGTAGGTACCAAACTAGAACCATACTTCAGCAACTTCAAAAACTCTATTTCATACTCAGAAACAGTCATATCACCCTAAACCAAATCCTGGTATTGATGTCATCTTTGAACCAAGTAACACTCTTCTAGAAAATTACTCCTAAAATGCTCTCTGAGGAATCCCAAGTCAAGCGATCATCCAGAACACTACTGACCACATAAACCCACCATGTGTGGGCATTCTCATCCAACATAGAGACGACTCCCAAATAACGCCGCTGCAGATCTAAACCTAACTGATCCATACATCGCTCGGTATCACAAAGCCAATCTTCGGCCTCAGTCGGAGCTCCACCAGTAAGGCCTCCAAAGGTCCTAAATATATTAGCAATAAGGGTCTGAGAAATCGGAACCTCGGGTACAACGTCTGTAGCTCTAACCGCTCCTTGAATCTGGAGAAACTGTCTACCAAGATTCTCATCTAGCACTACTCTAGAAGGCTCAGACTCCGAAACGGTTTCTCCTTTAACTAGAGTGATCAAACCTATTACAGGGGAAGGGGGCAAATTCATCAGGGTCACAAGAGCAAGATTATCTCCATCGGAGGTGGGGGATTTACATATATCTCATCTACGGGGTCCACAAATATAGTCGTTCGACTTCGCCAATGGCCAGGTCGACGACCACACCTAACACTCATCTTGGTAAACCTCGAGTTCACTACAGAAGGGTAAAGCCTAAGATTAGATTGACACTTAGAGTCCCACACACAATTAAACTCGTAAAAACTTGGTGACATAGTCTTCGTGACTTATTTTGTAAAACCTTTTAAAACCCTATTTTTAGTTTAAACCCATTCACAGTCTGAGGTTTTAAAAATCGAAAGCTATGATACCATCTATGTGTAACCCACTAGACCCGACCTATGTGTTAAGACCATATCTAGTGGATTAATATAAAATTTTTCCAAAACATTTTTCAATAATTTAAAACCATATTACATATAAAACTCTTTAAAAACATAGTTGATAACACTAAAGCTCAATTCCAGTAAATCAAAGTCGTAAGGACTAAGAAAAAGATAAGATATTCTAAAATCGGTATCGAAGTAAACTTAACATAAATATCAAAAGAAATATAAGTCGTAAAACAATTACTTTCAAAATATATAGGCATATGTCACCCAATATAATATCATATCGGAAGATAAAAAATTACATCAAAATACTACTGTACGAATGTATCGATCCTCCAAGTACCAGGTCTGGGATGCCTATAAAAAAGTATCTGAAAAAGAAAAGTTTGGGGAAGTGAGTTAGGGAGCTCAGTGTGTTCCAATAGTGCATAAATAAAACATATAGTTGAGTTTCCAAAATCAGCTTAGTTCCAAGTTGTGAAAACATCAATAGCATTTTTAACTTAAAATACAAAATCCCTCCAACCGAACACCATATGTAGTTCCCCAGAACTGCATCCATAAGGACTTACCCTAGGTCCAAGGGGCGTAGGTGCCAACCTAGAGAGCACATTGGGTCCATAAGGTCTTACCCTAGCCGAAGCATAGGTGATCACCTGAGGGGTGTGCCCTCAAGCCCACAAGGACTTACCCAATGCACATAGTATATGTGTCACCCTAAAGGAGTACCTTAGGATCTATAAGGTCTTACCACTAGGCTCATTGGGCCCACCCAAGGGTCGTATTAGGTCCATGAGGAATTACCAGCTCGACCGGTCTGAACCTATATAAGGAATTATCAGTTTGACCGAAGTTGAACCAACTGAGACTTCATATTAGATCTCATAGTGCCCCAAAAAAAAATTTAGACAGTAACCAATGGTAGCAGGAAATCAGAGTTCAGACATACTTATTTATTAGTAAAAACAGTAACCAAAGAACAAATATCAAGCAAACATGATTTAAAATACAGTAAATCAAGAATCATACTTAAATCAGATAAGTCATATGGTAGTCAAATCAAAACAAACAATTCATTTCAAATTAGAGAAAAAAATAATATGCACATGGTATTTCAAACATATATTTAAAACAATTATATGGCACACAAGGAACACACCTCGCAAAAAGAATCAGTCCGGTAGATCTATCGAGCACTAGCTTCACTACGTTCTTCTGTTGTACGTGAACCTACGTTATGTCAGAACAGGGTTATAATCAGAATAATATTTTAAATTGAGTATCTAACATGGTTACAAAACTATACGAGTAATCATGGGCTGACATTGACAGACAGATCGAGAGGAATCGGGTTGAGCAGACGAACAGTCAAGAGATCCACAAATACCTTAAATATACGACATCATCATAAATTGATTAGTTATTGACCTTGAATTAAATGTACTTAATTAAATTGCTTAAGTTACATATGCATATTCGAGTTTGATGGTCAATTTGGAGGCTTTCAGGTTTGAATTTGGAAAAACGAACTTGAGATTCGGACCAGGACGTCGAAAATTATAAAATATGACTTATTAAATTTTTTAACTTTTCGGTCAAAGTCAATGGTCAAACTGGTCAAAGTCAAAGTCAAAGTTAAAGTCAGTGGGTCTGGTCAACAGTTCTGGTCAAGGTAAACGGTTCAGACAAGATCGGGTTAACTCGGACTGTTCAAATCGGTTCAAGCCGGTTTGGTCCACCTATACCGTTTGTAGAAGAGACCATGGCTGGAGAAGAGCCCCAAGCATATGTGGCGTCGCGTGACATCAATGATGGGGTCGGGGGTAATTTTCGAGCACTCCGGGAGCATCCAAACACCATTATCAAGCTAAACAAACTTATAAATCAGCCAAAAACACATCAATCGATAAGATAAATGAGATTGAAAGCTTACCCATGGTGGACTGCGACGCGGCCCACTAGTTGGGTTTTGAGTGCACAGAGACTAAGAGCCCAATGGTGGCAGCGGTGAGGCAAACTGATGAGCGAGGTGGCCAGAACGAAGAAAAATAGAGAGACGATGGGGTTTATGATGAAACTTTACCGGCTTCTCCACGGCGATCGACGATACCTTTCGACGATCAATCAGAGGGGTTTTGGTCATCGGTCGACGTCGAGTCAAATGGTTGTGACGATGCTCCCAACGGTGACCGGATGATGCTAAAACGATGGGCCAGTGGGGGAGGATTCGAACGGCTTCGCTCTCGATTTAGGCCAAACGATGGCCGATTTGGCGACTCTCTAATCGTAGATTGGTCGCGGGTTGCTGCTGAGGCGAACGACGGTGACGACCGCTACGGATGGCCAAAGGACGATGATCGGTAGTTGGTTGGTTTAGGGTTGAAAACCAAGTTGGTTTTAGGGCTTGATTCACGAACAAAGAGAGGGTTTCTGGTTTGGTTTTGGGTTATAACTCAAATCAAATTATAAAATATATTTATTAATATTAAACTCAAATAGGATCCTAACTTGGTCGCTAATGTATGGGTACTCGTGACCCTAAGGGTATGGGTTCAAACCATCCTAGTCATATATTCCATTTTTTATTCTTGATGTTAGGAGAGTATGATAAAATTATGGGGCTAATCCCTAAACTTTTTATATATTCAAATTTGACTCATAATTTTTCAAAAACTTGTAGTTTAGTCCTTAAAATCAATTTATTAATTCTATAAATTTTAAAATTGAAAATTAGGGTGTGGCATTTTTAATATAACTTTTTAAATTCTTACCATTATATAAATTTCTATATTTGTACACTAAACCCCAAAAACCAGATGTTGAACACATTTCTTTAAGTATGATATTCATGTGTTAATCATTTAGATGAACCCACCTGCATAATTAGGCTTTTCTATGTTGTAGGGAGTGCTATCGGAAACATTGGAATCTTGGTCATTGTGAATAAATCTGACAAGGGAATATTAAAAAACTGTTAAAATATTATCATTTTAGTCTTAAAAAATTATACAATTGAAAATAATTTCGATTCTAATTGAAAATGTTACATGCAATTTTTTATAATAATCTTTTAGAATGCGACCAAAGTAATATGCAATTTACATAATTTATTATAAAAAATTACTATTTTTAATTTTAATCTAAAATGTCACATAATTTACTCTAAAAGATTACTCACTTGATAATTTTTTTTCATTACAATCGATTGTAACTATTTTTAATCTTATATTAATCAGTTATATTTTAAATTCCCCATATAATGCCGAGATGGCTAATTTGTTTAACTAAAAGGCGGACACCCTAGGCTCTTGCCATAAACCAAAAGTCGAAGAAGACCACACCAATTGAACCATTATTTTATTATGTCAAAGACGAGAATGAGCAAGAGTACATATGAAGTGGGAGCCTTGGCTCTGCAACACTGTGGAGTGGGTACTTTTTAGGCGTGGAAAGCCCGAAGATTTCTTCCATATTCAGGTCATCTTTCGTGGCATTACCAGGTAATCTCCAAGTAAAACCATGCAAAACATTAGCCAAACTTGCTTGAATCACCTTGATCCCTAAACCATATCCAGGGCACATCCTTCTTCCTGCCCCAAACGGCAAAAGCTCAAAGTCATGACCTTTAACATCAATACTCTTTCCCAGGAATCTCTCGGGACAAAACTCATTAGGGTTGTCCCAAACACTAGGGTCCCTCCCGATCGTCCAAACGCTTACAAGAGCTCGAGTGCCCTTGGGAATATCATAGCCATTTATTCGGCAGTCTTGACGAGCAACACGAGGCGTAAGCATGGGTGCAACGGGGTGCAACCGCATAGTCTCCTTGGCGATCGAGTCGATGTAGGGTAGATTCTCGATGTCTTTCTCTTCGACCCATCGTTCCCTGCCGATGACACTGTCGAGTTCTTCCGTTGCCTTGGCTAAAATTTCTGGTTTTTTCAACAACTCCGAGATTGCCCATTCTACAGTCACTGCTGAACTCTCGGATCCACCGGCTATCATGTCCTGAAACACAAACAAGAAGAGCAGTGATTCAATAAAAAAAGTTAAAACCTTTGCAGCTAATTGATAATTCAACGAATGAGTCACTATCATCATTAGCTTTTAAATATAAATCACTCTCACTCTATAGGTCACTCAACACATGTAATTAGACCATCTGGTTTCAAATTTTATTTTGAGTCAATGGCGTAACATGCAAGGAAACGACCCGTCATTTGAAGCCAGACAGGAAAGTAAAAACAAAACGATCCACGAACATGACATAATCATTACCTGAGTAAATGCCTTCACTCCATGCCTTTCAATCTTGACCTCAAGTGTTGGATCCTCAGACAGCTGCAAAAGCACGTCCACCATGTCCTTAGCAACATAATCTTTGACCCCTTTTCTCCTTTCGTTGTGTTCGTCCAAGACATGTTCCAAGAACCTGTCGAACTTCTTGCTCAGCGCCTTCATTCTCTTAATATAGCCCTGCAAATCCATGAAACTGAGCCAAGGGATGGAATCACCGATATCAAGCACACCATTAAGCAAGAACAACTCGTCGAGCATCTCCATGAACTCCTTCGGGGTCAGGATCTCGGCGTCGCCGGTCGTTTCCGTGTATTTCTTCCCGAACACCATCCTACTGATCACGTTAAGACTCAAGGTCGAAAGATGATCTTTCAAAACAATTGGGGTACCACATGATTCGTACAACTTTTTTAGGAACAATATCATCTCCTCTCTTCGGATGTGGCTGTATGACTCTAGGCGTTTCGCACTAAACAGCTCGGTTAGGCATATTTTTCGTGCTTGACGCCAGTATGGACCATAAGGAGACCATGTAATATCGGAGTAATTGTAAGTAGTGTATTTCCCGGCGGCGTTTTTAGGCCGATCGGTGAAGATGATATCGTTGGTTTTCAATATGGCTTTGGCCATTTCAACGGATGAAACAATCACAACCGGAAATGACCCAAATTTAAGTTGCATGATGTGCCCGAATTTCAATGAGAGGGCATGGATGGACCGGTGGGGAAGTGAGCCGATGAGGTTGAGGTTACCGATTATCGGCCAGGGTTTTGGACCGGGTGGTAAGTTGAGTTTCCGACCACGGCGGAGGCGGATGTAGAGGAGGATGAAGGCTAGAGTGGCGAGCAATGCTATAAAGTAAGAAACCCATGATGGAGTATCCATTTGTTTTGCAAGTAATGAAGTTTAAATGTAAAACTTTGTATTTATAGACAGAAATGAAATCAAAGAAAGTGATAAGAATATTTTAAATTATCAATTTCTTTTTCACTACAATTTTTTAGTTCATGTAGTGGTCCCTTTATTCTTTAATACTTATAAAAAGACTTTTCTGTTAGGTTTAGTCTTCTCACATTTTAAAATTTTAAGTGATTTAATTTAATTAAAAATCTAATATTAGTAGATAGTTTATTTATTTTCAAAACGCCTTATAACAAATTAAAATAGAAATACTAAATTAATATTTCAATGGCTACTAGAGAGACTAATATTTTACAAGCCAAACCGCTCCATGATCCTTTATTTTTCGAATTTTACAGTACTCTCGAAGACTATAATCATGGGGAGTACATGTGAAATGGGAGTCTAAGCTCCGCCACAACTTGAAGTGGGTTTTTTTAGGGGTGGAAAGCCCAAATATTTCCTCCATATTGAGCTCATCATTTGGAGGTAATTTCCAAGTGAAGCCATGTAAAACATTAGCCAAACTCACTTGAATGACCTTAATCCCCAAAGGATAACCGGGGCACATCCTCCTTCCTGCCCCGAATGGCAACAACTTAAAGTCACGACCTTTGATATCGACACTCTTTTCCATGAACCTGTCGGGCCAGAAGGCATTGGGGTTGTCCCAATGGCTTGGGTCCCAATGAGCTCGAGTGCCCTTGGGAATATCGTAACCGAGTAATTGGCAGTCTTGGCGAGCCACGCGAGGCGTCAGCATCGGTGCCAGTTGGTGCAACCGCATTGTTTCCTTAACGATGGAGTCGATGCAAGGTAGGTTCACTATGTCTTTCTCTTCGACCCATCGTTCCCTGCCGATTACACTGTCGAGTTCTTCTGTGGCCTTGGCTAAAATTTCTGGGTTCTTCAGTAGCTCCGAGATTGCCCATTCTAAGGTCACTGTTGAGCTCTCGGTTCCACCGGCTGTCAGTTCCTTAGAGACAGACAAAAAGGGCAATTAGATCCCAGGTACTCGTGTGCAATGATAACGCTAATCAAACTAAATTTAACTGAAATAACCATAAAAATATATTTATGTGTATTTATATATTATTAATTAGGTTATAAAACTACAAAAACATAAAATTATATTAAATTAGGTTGAGTTCAATTCAATTTGGATCAAGTTAGAATATTTTTAAACTCAAATCAAATTCAAATCAACAAAAAAGTCTACTTTAATCTGCTATATTAACATCTCTAGTTTAAATATGTTAATATTTATATTTCTGACAGAAATATATTCTTTCGTTAGTTGTTACGTTTGATCCAACATTATCTTAAAATTAACAACATATATTTAAGATTTGTGCTAATTTTATAATCCATGTTGAATTAGGTTTGTCAAGTTTATCTTTAAATGAGAAACAAATCAAAACTCTGTCTTTCACATATAGTCTCTCTCAAGTTCTATGTATATTAATCATTGTTTATTAATCTATTTTTAGCAAGTTGAGTGAAAAATAAAAGAATAAATCCAACCAAAATCACAATATCATATATATATAAAGTATAAACCAATAAGTCTAACTAATGTATCTTTTCATATAAATATATATATATGGCTCAAACTAAAAACAAAATTACTTAAACTATGTTATTTGTTTACTTTAAATATTTAAATTATTTTTTGGTCAAACTAATTACTTAAACTATTATATGTAATCATTTTAAGTATTTCGATTATTTTGTGTCAAAATAAATCCTTAAACTATAACTGATTTACTTTAAGTCTCTAAAACATATTTTTTGGTCAAATTAAACACCTATTTTTATATGACGTGTTAATATCTTATTAGTTGAAAAATAAATTTCTAATTAAAAATATTAGTACTTAAAATAATTAAATATAATAATTTATTCATTATGTCTATTATTTTGTCTATTATGTTGTCTTGTTTGCCTAATTTAATAGTTTGTTCGTTGTCTAGTATGCTATCTTATTTGCATAGTTTAATAGTTTATTCATCTTTAATTATAAATTGCAATTAAAGATATTTTAATAAAATAAAATATTATGTTATCTTATAAGGTGAAATTTGATATGTGACATACAATTTTATGTGTCGTCAAGTAACTTAGACGATAACATATTAAAAATAAATTTAATTCAAAATTTTGCCATAATATGTCAGACATAATTTATTAATGGTGCGTCAACTACCAATATTATCTTTTATTTTCTCAATGAAAAGAAAATCTTCTAACTAATTGATTAATTATACATTAAAACTTAAGGTAAATTACAAATCTCGTCACAAAATTTTACTCTCTCTCCTATTTTACTCATTGAACTCTAAAAGTTTTAAATTTTCTCATTGAACTTAATACATTAGATTTTTTATGTTCACTGAATTTTACTCTCTCTTCTATTTTAGCCATTCTACCGTTAAATAGTTAACGACACCGTTTTAAAAGAAAATAAAATTTTCACCAAAACTACGTCAAACTACGTCATTTTGCTTCTATATAACAACTCATTTTAACATCGTTAACTATTTAACGGCCGAGTGACCAAAAAAACCCAATGTTATTAAGTTTAATAAGAAAATTGGAAAGATTTAAAATACAATGACTGAAATAGGAGAGAGAGTAAAGTTTAATTACCAAATTTGTAATTTACCCTAAAACTTAAATGTATCAATAATGTACTGATGCTAGCTTTAGTAGGACTGGTATCTTTCTGTTATGTTTTATTATATGAGTTAGTAATATATATATTGTTTATTTTGAATTAGTATTATCTTTTATTTAATTTTATTTATTTTAATTCTAAGTTTAAATTTATACTAATTCTTTTTTATGATACTAGTAAATTAGAGTGAATGTAGTAAAACGCAAGCTTACCATAGTTATTGCCTTAACACTATGCCTTTCAAGCTTGACATCAAGATCGGGATCCTCAGAGTGCTGCAAAAGCACGTCCAACATGTCTTTAGCCACATAATCTTCCACCCCTTTTCTCCTCTCGTTGTGTTCATCCAACACATGTTCCAAGAACCTGTCGAATTTCTTGCTCAACGCCTTCATTCTCTTAATATTCCCCTGCAAATCCAGGAAACTGACCCAAGGGATCGAATCGCCGATATCGAGCACGCCGTTAAGGAAGAACAATGTTGCGGAAGACGGCTATCGGATAGAGCAAAATCGCAACTAATAATTTGAGAAAATAAAAATTGAAGATAAAAGAGACACAAAATTTACGTGGAAACCCCCTAAATAATATAGGGTAAAAACCACGGACAACGGTAGAAGAATTTTACTATGAGAAAATAGGAATTATAACTTCTCTCGATCTACCAAGGAGAAAACAATGATAATTCTCTCTTGATAAAAAGGAGAAAACAACTCTCAAGAAACTCTCTAAATTCTCTCTAGTATTAGAAGAAAGCTAGAATCCTTTGGGATGGTTTTGAAGCTAAATGAGCTAGGGTATTTATAGTTGAAACTTAAGGACTAATTTGTAAATACCCTAAATTATAATAAATAAAAATAATTTTACCATTTTCCAAATTTCAACCAAAAAATCGGTGCATTAATTATACCACCTAAAGTTGTTTTTGGCCATGTGGCCAACTTGGCTTTTTCAACAATCTCCCACTTGAAGATTTGATTGAAACAATCATATCTTCTCACCATTCTTTCTACCTTGGACCATCATGTTGCTTACGTCTCTGACAGGCCACAGGAGGATCGACACCAGGTAAATTTATAGCGTTGATCGCCTTCGTCATGAAATCTGCTATGTTGTCTTTGGTATGGATCTTCTGCAGATCTACTGTCCATTCTTCCACCTTTTCACGAATAAAATGGTACTGAACTCGTATGTGCTTTGTCCTTGAATGAAATGCTGGATTCCTTGCTAGATGCAAGGTGCTTTGACTGTCAAAAAACAGAGAGACATACTCTTGATTGTGCCCAAGCTCCTCCAATAGCATCTTCAACCAAATTGCTTCTTTATGGCTTGTGTAGCTGCTACATATTATGCTTCTGTTGTTGACGTAGCTACAACTGACTGCAATTTTGAAACCCAGCTTACAGCTCCACCAGCAATTTTGAACACATATCCTGTAGTAGATTTTTTTATCCAAATCCCCTGCATAGTCAGAATCGACATACCCATTGATAAGTAAGTTTGATCCTCCGTAACATAATGCAACATTTGAGGTCTCTTTGATGTATCTTAGGATCCTCTTCATTGTATTCCAATGCTCTTTGCCTGGATTCGCCATTTACCGACTAACCACTCTCACTGCTTGTGCAATGTCTGGTCTTGTGCATATCATAGCGAACATTAAACTTCCCACTGCCGATGCATACGATACTCGAAACATCTTCATCCTCTCTTCTTCACTGCTAGGACTCATACTGGAGGATAATTTGAAGTTAATAGGAAGAGGGGTAGAAATTGGCTTACAATCTTGCATGTTGAATCATGACAAGATCTTCTTCAAATAATTCTTTTGTGAAAACCAAATCTTCCTATTACTTATGTCTCGGTGAATTTGCATCCCTAGAATATTGTTTGCTGATCCCAAGTCCTTCATTTCAAATTCCGTAGCCAGTTGTGCCTTCAATTCTTCAATATGATCTTTGTTGGGTCCTGCAACCAACATGTCATCCACATACAGCAACAAAATAACAAAATCGTTATCACCATACCTCTTGAAATAAGCACAAGGATCTGTATTAAGTCTGTTGTATCACATAATGAAAGAATCAAATCTCTTATACCAACACCTCGACGCCTGCTTTAGACCGTACAGAGATTTGTTCAACCTGCAAACCAAGTTCTTCTTTTCTTTTTCTTCAAAACCTTCAGGCTGGAGCATATAAATTTCTTCCTCAAGATTTCCATGAAGAAAAGCTGTTTTAACATCTAGCTGCTCTAGATGTAAGTCCAATGTAGCACACATTGACAAAACTACTCGAACTGTTGTTAGTCG